CGGGCATTCAAAACCATGCCCAGGAATGGAGTTCTGGGAACTCGAAGACCACGAAGTGGCCTACAGTTGGCTCCAGGCATTCAAAGCCATGCCCAGGAATGGAGTTCTGGGAACTCGAAGACCACGAAGTGGCCTACGGTTGGCTCCAGGCATTCCAAATCATGCCCAGGAATGGAGTTCTGGGAACTCGAAGAAAACGAAGTGGCCTACAGTAGGTTCTGGGCATTCCAAATCATGCCCAGAAATGGAGTTCTGGATACTCGAAGACCACGAAGTGCGTTACTGTTGGCTACAAAAGGAGTGCCCGGATTCCCGTCCGGATTCCCGTCCGGATCCCGCCCAGACCCCCTTGGGGAGCCATGATGCTTCCTTTTGAGACCACTAGAAACCTATCAGTCTTCGCTGTTCGGTAAAAGCCATGCGGCGGCGATTGCGATTTCTGCTTGGTAGTGGCAAGTGCGCGGCCGCGCTAGCGCGCGCAAGCTCGCGCGCAGAGCGGCCAGCTAGTTTGGAACAGCGTGGCGCGGTTGCGGTGCCGCTAACAGATAAGGACCCCCAAGTGCGTCTTAAGGGCCCAGCTGGCGCGCGGGGGCTTCAGTTCGGGTCGGTGATTCGGGCGGGCGCGGTATCACGGTGACGTGGACAGTAGCGCGGAAACGATGATAGTAGCGGTGATGGTGTCGATGATGGCGATGACGACGGTAAAGCCAATGACAGAACGGCTGCTGGTCACGCCGATGACAACGATGACGTCCACGTGTCGTTCATGAGTGCGTTCAAAAGGTTTGGGCATGCGCCCGCGGCCGACGCGCGTGGATGACCCGCGTGCTTGTGTTTGACAGGTGTCGCCCCCCCCCCCCCCCGCAAGCGTGTAAGGGCGTTCGAATGTGTCCGGCATGCCCACGATCGGCCCGCGGGGTTTCTTTTGATGGAAGTATTCAGCAACATTCATGGCTGTTCACGCACTCGAAATAGCGCGCGCGTTTTTGTTCCTCCGCCTCGTTGTGTTGTGCATTCGGTCTGAATACAGCGCTGCGGCCTCCGTCCTTTCTTACCCTTACTCCCCTCCTCATTTGTCTCGCGGCTCCCTGGGGTGATCGAGGCGGGACCTCGCGGCTCCCTGGGGGGCTGCACAGCGCGCAGCTGTCGCGATTTCCGTGGGCTCCTTGGAGGCCCAGCGGGATGGAGGGACACGCAGACTCGGCCTCGGCTCCCAGGGGGCCAGCGAAGTGCGCAATTGTCGTCACGTGCGTGGGGTCCTGGTGGGCTCATCATCGCTCGGACGTGTGCATTTTTCTTTCGTCGAGGACCATCGAGGAGCATCCTTGATCATTTGGCGAAACAACCACGCACGAAACCGAAAAAAAACAGGGAATGGACGTCCCAGTGATGGCAGGGGATGGGGGCACGCGCAGACGCAGCCCAGGCTCCTTGGAGGTCGGCGGAGTGCGCCACTGTCGTCACGCTCGTGGGCTCCCCGGGAGGCCCCTCGGAACGGAAGGGCACACGGGCCCGTCCGCGGCCCCGCGGCTCCTCAGGTGGCTGCGGGGCGCGCGAGTGTCGTCACGACTGGGCTCTCCGGGGGTCAAGCGGGACGGACGGGCACCTGGGGCCCCGCCGAGTTCCCAGGGCTCCCCTGGGGGATTGCCGAGAGCGCAATCGCGGCCGTTGTCGTGGACCTGGGGGCTCCCGCGGAGCGCAGTGCCAGGCGGGCCTGGCCGAGACCTCGCAGCTTCCCGGGGGGGGGGGGGGGCCCGCGGGGTGCGCGACTGTCGCCAGCTCCGTGGGCTCCTGGAAGGCCACGCAGGCCCAGCTGGAAACCTCGCGGCTCACTCGGGGGATCCGTGCCCGCGTGCCGCCACTTTCGCGGGCTCCCGGGAGGTCCAGCGGGGCGGAGCGGCAGGCAGGCCCAGCCGATGCTTTTCGCGTTTTTTTTTTTTTTGGGGGGGGGGGGGGGGGGCGACTTGCGCAGCTGGGCTCCGAAGGGGGTCCAGCGGACGCAGACTTGCGCTTCCCGGCTCCTCGCTCTCCCGCTTTTTCGTTTCCATTGCTCGTCCCGCGTTTCTTTGTCGGCCTGGTCCGAATACGAGTCGCGGGGTCGAGGCTGCTGCGCCGGCAAATCGCCGGGCACGTCATTTTCAGTGGTGGTCCCCACTGGGGCTTTCACACCACCAGAACGGAACAGAACAGACCCAGCCGAGACCCCGCGGTGCCCTGGGGGGCTGCGAAGGGCTCTTGGGGGGTTCCGACGGAGTGGAAGGACACGCAGACCCAGCTGAGACCTCGCGGCTTCTTGTTGGCTCGTGGGTTGCGCAGCTGTCGCCACTTTCGTGGGTTCCCGGGAGGTCCAGTGGAACTGGGGGCCACGCAGACCCGGCCGAGGTTTCCCCGTTCCTCGGGGTCGTGCGAAGTGCTCAATGGTCGCCACGGTAGCGGCGAAATGGACGGCGGTAGGACACGCATACCCAGCCGAGACCCCGCGGCTCCTTGCACGTGGAGGGATGTTCGTGCGGTCTGCGGGCCCTTCGACATGTTCGTTAGTATTCAGCGGTCCTGGTTATGGCCGCCACATGTGTAGAAACGTTCGGGTACGTCGCCGTGCAATTTTGAAAAACAGTCATGAAGCATATTCCCAACCCTCCTGTGCTGTGTGCCCGTTTTGAATAGAGCACTGGGGCACTTTGGTTTCCGTTCTATCACGACTCCCTGGTGGGGTCCAGGCGGACCTCTCGGCTCTCTGGGGGGCTGCGAACTGCGCAACCGTCGCCGCGTTCGTGAGATTTTGGGAGGTCCATCGGAGCGGAGAGACGCGCAGACCCAGCAGAGGCCTCGCGGCTCCCAGGGGGGGCTGCGGGGTGCGCAGCTGTCGCCGCGTTCGCGGGCTCTTGGGGGGTCCAGCGGAGTGCAGGGGCACGTTGACTTGGCCGAGAACTCGTGGCTTCTAGCGCACGGAGGGGTGCGTGCGCCTGCGCATTGCGGGTGTCTCAACATGTTTGCTCGTATTGAGCGGTCCCGGGGGGTATAGCCGCCACAGATGTCGCAGGGCATGTGTTGTTTGGTCTCGATACCCTCGGTCTTGCCATCCTTGCGGACCGAAGGCTTTGAATTGATTTCGGCAGGGGCGCGCGACGACGCCAGCGTGCGACCGTGCGCACGTTGTCACATTGTCATTAGAGTGAGGGGGCCGAACGGTCATTCATTGTCCCTGGGTGCGTGGCTGAATAGGGAATTCGTGGTGGGAATTCTGCTTGTTGTTGTTGTTGTTGTTGTTGTCGTTGTCGTTGTCGTTGTCGTTGTCGTTGTCGTTGTCGTTGTCGTTGCTGTGGTTGTTGTTGTTGTTGTTGTTGTTGCTGTTGCTGCTGATGTTGTTGTTGTTGTTGTTGGTGTTGTTGTTGTTGTTGGTGTTGTTGTTTTTGTTTTTGTTGTTGTTGGTATAGTTGTTGTTGGTGTTGGTGTTGGTGTTGGTGGTGTTGGTGTTGGTGTTGGTGTTGGTGTTGTTGTTGTTGTTGCTGTTGCTGCTGTTGTTGCTGTTGATGTTGTTGTTGAATTCTCATTTCTAAAGAATAACTATTGTTGATCTCCAGAAGCGGTTCCGCGCGCACTCGCCTTGACGCTGGCTACATTTTTGCTTCATCTCCTAAGGTGGGGTTCTTGTTATTTCTTGGACGCCGCCGACTCCAGAGAACAAGAACACACCCAGAACATAGACTCACTCATGCACATACTTACTCATACTCAGATTTACTCATACCCAGACGTACTCATACACAGACGTACTCATACTCAGATTTACTCATACCCAGACTTTCTCACAGACTTACTCATATTCAGACTTACTCATACTCATATCTACTCATACTCAGACTTATTCATACCCAGACGTACACATACACAGACTTACTCATAAACAGACTTATTCATACTCAGACTTACTCATACCCAGGCGTACTCATATACAGACTCATACTCAGACCTACACATACTCAGACCTTCTCATAGTCTGAGTTACTCAACACACGGCAGATTTTGAAGATGTCGCAGGCGGGGCGCTGGCTTCAGCACCCCTAAGGGGAGCCGCCAGGGGTGTTCACACGGTCCCGTTCGCGGCCAGTTTGTGGGGATGTCTCAGGCGGTTTGCTCATTGTCATGCCCAACATCCTTTGCTTTCAGATCAGATTGTGAGGATGTCTCAGGCCAGACGCTGGTTTCAGCACCCCTAAGGGGAGCCGCTAGGGGGTTTGAGATCTTCTCAAACCCCCTAGCTTAAAACTGCCAGCGTCATATCCTCACACCCCCTGGCTTAAAATTACCAGCGACATATCCTCACCGCCTGGCCTAAAACTGCCGGCGAGATATCCTTACCCCCCTGACTCAAAATTGCCAGCGAAATATCCTCACCCCCTTGCTGGAAACTGCCAGCGAAATATCCTCACCCCCTGGCCTAAAGCTGCCAGCGAGATATCCTCAACCCCCTGACTTAAAACTGCCAGCGAAATCTCCTCACACCCCCTGGCTTAAAACTGCCAGCGAAATACTCTCACCCCTTGGCCTAAAACTGCCAGCGAAGTATCCTCACCCCCTGGCCTAAAGCTGCCAGCGAGATATCCTCAACCCCTTGAACTAAAACTGCCATCGAAATATCCTGACACCCCCTGACTTAGAATTGCTAGCCAAATATCCTCACCCCCGGAAGTGAACTGCAATCTAACGGATTTGGTGTGTCAGTCAGTTCAGTCAGTTAATTTTGTTTACTTCCCGAAAATCAAATTACGGGTTGCGCCCGTGAAATATCATCCCAAGACGCCCAAGATGGCCACAAGACGGCCCAGGAGGCCCCCAAGACGCCCCAAGAGGCCCCCAAGAGGACTCCCAAGAGGGTTTCCAAAGGCAAACATGGCCCCATTCCCGTTGGGAAACGTATTTTTTATAATATTCGTCTATGGAGTTTTCAGAGCATCCAAGACGGCCCGCGAGGCCTTCATGATCACCCCAAGACGGCCCAAGAGGCTCTCTACAGGGCTCCAAGACGCCCAAGATAGCACCAAGAAGGCCCATCCGTAGCCATTTTGGCTCAAGCCATTTTTGCTCAAGCCAAGACGGATCACAATGCTGGTGTCTGGGCGAGGTGCCTTAGTTGTTGCGGGCGTTACTCTTTACGTCTGTTTCAATGGCATTAATTTTGTGATGCCGCATCTCGCACATGTCTTGTTTATACAAGAGAAGTGCCAGAGTACAAAAAATCAAACATCATATTATTCTTACCATGTGTCACAAATGATGCCGAGAACAGTGTCCAACATCAGCACGGGTCCCGTGAATGTCGTAATGTTGCTGCAAGGTGTACGGCCTGAGCGTGCAGCTCTCATGATGAAATACACTTCCTTGTTTCGCAGTGTTGCATTGTTGGAATGGTCTTCCACACTCGAGTCCGTTCGTGGACAAGTATTTCGATTGGGAAGATCAGGATCGTTTATTCTCTTCTTGTGCGCTTCTAGAATCCGAACACTGTACCACTACCACTGTTTGTCGCCGGCGCTCAAAGCGCTGTCCGCGAGGTTTCCTGGTGCCGCTGGAGTGTTGACAATGCATTCTGATTTTTGGATATATCCAAGCTATGTAGTAGACACTGCTGCGTTGAACAAGATTTGGCACCTTGGACCTGGATTAACTCGCGCTGATGATTGCTCTGGCGTGATCGACACGATGTGCTTGGCGGAGTTTCATTCAGACCCCACATGGTTTTGGTGGGAGAATTCAATGGAAGCTGCGTTTCGTGCTTGGCAAGACATGGAGAAATTGTTGCCATTCGGATCAATCGGCAACATCAGCGCTCTGCATGCGGCCAAGGTGTGCGCTGGATGGGCTGATTTATTTTATCTGCCAGTCAGCACGCTGAATCCCTTCTCGGATCTTTCATATGTATTCAAGGATGTCTTTCACGAGGTTGCAGTCCCAACGATCCTTGAGATTCTTGTGCTGGCTGAACGGGTGAAGCGAAGAAAGCTTTGGTGTTGGGGCGGTTGCTGTGGGACCGCTGGAATTGCTGAGATGCACAAGTATTCGTGCGGACACAAAATGGATCTCCGGTTTCCTGCGGTGCAGGATGCATTTCTTGAAATATTGGCGGGGCGTGACTTGAATATGACAGGGCAGTGGGTAGTTATATCTCTTTCATTGAGCAATCTGTTTGGCCTCGGGCCATGCCGGCACAGCGTGCAGTTGTGAAACATCGCACGATATTGCAAGGAAGTGTTGACGTTTCCAGCGTTTTCTACGATGGGCTCTTGACAGGCTTGCAGCGCCAATCAAGACAAGCTTTGCTTTTGGGATTCGCAAAGACATAGTGAGAGCGCTGCGACAGGGTGGCGTGAGTTTCATTATTGGCTTTCGAATGTTCAGAAAGGGAACTGGTCGGCGCCTCATTATGCGTACCTTTCGTGCCAATGCGCGTCAGGCTGCAATGCTGGCTTGCAGGTGACGTCCGCCTGCTGTCAGCACAGTGAATTCGATGCATGTCTTTATGCTCATGCCCCAAGTGCTTGTGACAGGGTGGTGGAATTTCACTGTTGGCGCCAAGGCGTCTCCGTTCGCGCCAAGGCGCGTCAGGCTGCAATGCTGGCTTGCAGGTGACGCCCGCCTGCCGTGCAGTTTTTTTTTCTGTTCACCGCGGAGGCGATCGTTGATTTGAGTCCGCCTTGCGTGCACACCCGTGGGCAATCGCAGGCTGATGCGTCTCCGTCGGAAAAAAAAAATAGAGCACCAAGAAGGCCCAAGAGGCCCCCAAGACAGCCCATGAAGGCCCCAGGACGGCCCCAGGAGTGGGCCCAGACGGGGTACCCGAACGAATATTTGAAGCTTTCGGCCACAAGAAGGCCCCGAGAGGCCCCCAAGAGGCCCCCAAGAGGCCCCAAAGAGGCCCCCAAGAGGCCCCCGAGAGGCCCCCAAGAGGCCCCAAAACGGCCCCCGACAGGCACCGGAACGGGCCTCGGAACTGCTTCCAGGAGGCCTCCGAGAGTTCTGCCACGAGATCCGAACGAACTGTCCAGATGCTTGCAGGAGGAGCCCCAGACGCCTCCAGGACATCTTCAAGCGCGCTCCAGAGCCTCTCAAGAAGACTCCGAAACGACCTGGGATGGCCTTAGGCCGCCAAGATGGTCCAAACTGGCCCGAAGATGTGCCAAAGGGTCCCCAAGACGCTTCCACGACGCCCCCAAGCGGCTCCCAGATGTCCAGAAGAGGCCCTCAGAGGCTTCCCAAATAGCCCCGAGAGCTTAAAATGTTTCAAAAACCGGCGGAAAACCGTAAATGATTGAAGAATTCGCCTGTTCATTGCCGATGGACTTCGGAGGCTTATGGATGGCCCCCAAACATCCGGAACAGCCCCACGAGCAGCCCCAGACGCTCCCCGACAGCGGCCCGAGAAGGGAACGTGAAAGGAGAATCCCAGATCTTCATTCCACGAGCCCCCCAGGTGGCCCCAAGAGGTCCCCACGACGCCCCAAGAGGCTCCCAAGAAAGCGCCAAGGGGTCCCAAGGGGCCACAAAGAGGTCCAAAACAAACCCAAAAGAGGCCCGAAGAGCACTTGAAAACAAAGGTACTTACACATTTCCGTTTTTTTCAAGTCCGCCACGGCCCATGGGGCACTCATCTTTCACAGGGAAGTC